AAGTGAAGGTGTATTGTTGGCCTTGCCAGCTGAAGGCAAACTGCTTCTGGTGGTCCTTTGAAACAGGTATGGAGAAAAAGGCATTAGCCAGATAATAGCTGCATACCAGGTACCAGGAGATGTATTAATTTGCTCAAGCAGTGAAATTACATCTGGAACAGCAGCTGCAATTGGAGTCACCACCTTGTTAAGTTTTTGATAATCTACTGTCATTCTCCAAGATCCATCTGTTTTTTGCACAGGCCAAATAGGCGAGTTGAATGGGGATGTGGTGGGAATCACCAGCCCTGCATCCTTCAAGTCCTTGATGGTGGCAGTAATCTCTGCAATCCCTCCAGGAATGTGGTATTGCTTTTGGTTTACTATTTTCCTAGGTAGGGGCAGTTCTAATGGCTTTCACTTGGCTTTTCCTATCATAATAGCCCTTACTCTGTTCGTCAGGGATCCAATGTGGGGGTTCTGCCAGTTGCTAAGTATATCTATTCCAATTATGCATTCTGGAACTGGGGAAATCACTACAGGATGGGTTCGGGGACCCAGTGGACCTACTGTGAGACGGATATGAGCCAAGACTCCATTAATAACCTGACCTCCATATGCCCCCACTCTGACTGGTGGGCCACAGTGACATTTTGGGTCTCTTGGAATTAGTGTCAGCTCAGAGCCAGTATCCGTTAATCCCCAAAAAGTCTGATTATTTCCTTTTCCCCAATGAACAGTCACTCTTGTAAAAGGCTGTAGGTCCCTTTGGGGAAGGCTGGGAGAAAGATTAACAGTAAAAATTTTTGACAGTGTATTGGAGTCCTTCCTCAAGGGGACCCGGCCTTCCCTTCATTCAAGGGGTTGTGGGTCTTTAAACTCACTCAAATCTGGGAATTGATCGAGGGACTGTGACTCTCTGTTCTGGTGATTCGAGTTAGACTGCTGTTCACCTGATCTAGAATTCATCCATTTGTATAGATCAAGTAAATATTTAGTAGATTTCCTATCTATTTCACTCCTAGGGACACCATGACTAAGTAGCCAACACCATAAGTCCATACGAGTCAGACTATTCTGATTACTATTTTGAGTCCTCTGTCCATTACTGTAACCATGCCCGCCTTGTCTTTGTCGATTGAGTGCAGCCACTTGGTCCCTACTACCACAGGGTACAATCAGCCCCATTGTAGTTAGGGCAGTTCTGACTGTGAAATCTGACTTATATAAAATAGCAGTCACAGCAGTCTTCAAGGATGCTGGAGTTCCCTTCACAAATTTGTTCCTCACACTTGTGGTAAAAGGTGTGTCCTCTGGACACTCCATGTGTGGGTCTGTTGGTCTAACTTGATAAATCCACTCTAGCATGCCAATTTCCCTAAGCCTTTGGATACTTTCTTCTACAGTATACCAAGGCAGGTCTGGTACTTCAACTTGATTTAGTGTTAGCCACCTCATAATCCATGCTTCAGCAACCCAACCAAATAAACTATTAGATCCTTTCCTAACTTCTCTAGCTGAAACATTGAAGGAACAGTCTGTGCGCCGTTGGACCCATATCAATAAACTCAGACTGATCCATCTTTATGTTCCTTGCACCATTATCCCACACCTTTAATAGCTATTCCCACACATATTCCCCAGGTTTCTGTTTGTACATATTAGAAAACTCAAGTAGTTCTTTTGGAGTGTAGCATACCTCCTCCTGGGTCACACTCTGTACTTCACGTTTTGGGGCTCGCTGGGACTTAAGCCTAATTATAGGTCTAGAAGCAAGAATCCGTAGTGTGGAATTGTTTTGAGAACATTCAGCATTATCTTGTAAAGCATCTGCCTCAGGCGATGCTCCAGGCAAAGACTCAGGCAAGTACTCTTTAGAGGTAGCTGGGCTGGGGCTAATCTCCTCACATGAGAGTGGAGGGGCTAATGGTTTTTCTGGGCAGGGTGGTTTAGCAGACAAACATGAAGTAATCTCTTCAGATGGAACTGGTTCTGCTGGCAGGAGTGATTCAACGGAATTTACAGGCTCAGTGTCCCCAGCTTCCTGATTATCTGCCCATATGTCCACATCCCAAGTCTCAGGATGCCATCTCTTTCCAATCAATGCCCTTACTTAACTTCAGACACCTCTCGAGGTTTGCAACTGAGCTGGTGTTGTAATTCAGCCACTCTTATGGTAAGACTCTGGGTTTGGTTTTCAGCAATTTCGGCTTTGTTACTACAAGAAATAAGGCTTTCTTTTAAAGCACAAGTTGAAGCCTTGAGGTCATGTATGCGGCAGTTGAGCTTTGACTCTGAAGCCCTGAGCGCATCTCTTTCCTTCATCAGTTTGTGTAGCGAACGTAGGACAAACCAACCAGTTTCCTTATATTTCTCATTCCGACAAAGCTGTAGAAAGATATCACACATGTGTTCACCCTGAGCCTCACCTTTCACCAATACCTGATCTACCGGTGGTGATATTTTGCATATTTGTATCGCCACCTCGCTCCATGGACTAGCAGTGACTTCTTTACTGCTGGAAGCAGAGTCATCAATGTCTTTCTGACTAACTAGACTTGAGAACCAATTTAGAAAACTCATCCTTACAATTTTGTTTCTCTAGAACCATCCCACTCTCGGTATGAAATGTCTTAGTCTGGGTTCTCTAGAAAAGCAAAACCAGTAAGGTGTATAAATATGTATATCTATATAGAGATTGTATCAAGGAAACAGCTCACATGATTGTAGAGGCTACAACATCCCAAGTCCATGGATCAGGGTAGAGGCCTCTCCCATGTCACACAGCTGCAGAAGCTGGCAAGCCCAAGAGCAGCAGGTCAGAGAGCAGGGCTCCCCCTCACAGGCTGTGCAGATCAGTGAATCCCAGGTTCGGCAGATAAGCTGACAGCTCAAGTCCCAAGAATGGGAGATGAGATGACAGGAAGCAGCCGCAGGATCCAGAGAGAGCAAAAAGCCAGAACGTCTGCTTATATTCAGATGTGGGCCACACCCCCAAGGAGGCTCCCTTTCATCTGATTGGCTACTCACAGTATATTCAATCATGGGAGTGATTACATTAAAACACTGAGAATCATGGCCCAGCCAAGTTGACACACAATCTTAACCATCACAGTGGCTATACATTTTATTTACTCAATTTATCAGTTGATGGACATTTGGGTTGTTGCCACTTCTTGTCTGTTATTAAAAGTGCTACCATTCAAGTACAAGTTTTTGTGTAGATGTATGTTTTCATTTCTCTTGGGTATATATGTATATATCCAAGAGTGGAAATCCTGGATCATATGGTAACTCTATGTTTAACATTTTGAGTAACTGCCAAAGTGTTTTCCAATGCAGTTATATGATTTTACAATCTCACTAGCAGTGCATGAGGTTTTAAATTATGTGCCTTTTTGGTTATAGCCATCCTACTGGTTGTGAAGTGATACTCATTTAATTTTGATTTGCATTACCCTGATGGCTGTTGTGGAGTTTTAAGCAGTGAAATGACATAATCTAATTTAGATTTTATAAAGGTTACTCTTACTGCATTGTAGAAAGTCCATTAGAGGAATACAGTCAGGGAGACCAGTCATTAGGTTGTTTCATAACCAGTGAAGGATGACAGTGGACAGACTAAGCTACTTGTAGTGAGAATGTTGAGAACTGACTGGATAGATTACAGGTGTATCTAGAAGTACAACCCACAATAATTTGTGATGGGTTGGACGTGGGGATTGGGAAAAACTTGCAACTGGATTTGCTGCTTGGGAACTGGGTGGAGGGTCATATCATTCTTTGACCTAGGAGACAGGGCAAAATGAGCAGTTTGTCCTGCTGGAGAGCGGAAGGTGTTGTGTTTAGATTTGGAGCCATTGTGTTTAAGGTGCCTGTGGTTACAGCCAAGAGAGGAGATCAGGAGAGCTCTCTGGGCTGGAGATATAGATGTGGGAATTGTTAAAATATCGGAAGTAATTCAAACTTTGTGAGTGGATGGGATTGTGAGAATAAGAGTCCAGGATCTTGGACAGAGGCCAGAGAAAGAGCAGTTCACAGAGGAAACTGAGAAGGAGCATCCAGAAAGGAAGGAGGACATACAGAAAAGTGTGTTATCCTAGAAAAGAGAATATGAGAGAAAAGAACATTTCAAGGTGGAGCGAATGGTCAGCACTGTTATATAGTAGAATAAAATAAAGGACCATTAAGTATTCACTGAATTTAGCAACGAGGGAATTAGTTGTTGTTATTTGAGTGCTTAAGGTTTCAGTGAAGAAATGGGAAGTGAGTGTGACTGGGGGATGAGTTTCTGGGAGGCAGTGAGTGTAGATAGACAAACCTTTTTGAGAACTTTGGTTTTGAATGAAGAACAGAACATTAGCTGGAAGGAGATGTGTATTTGTTTCTTTTTAAATTGGAGATTTGAGAGTGGAAAGGGAAAGGGGGAGAGTGCTGACACATGGTGGGGATTGCAACTAATGTCACAAAATAATTTGTGTATAAAATTTTTGAATGAAAAACTGATTTGTGCTGTAAACTTTCACCTAAAACACAATAAAATTAAAAAAAAAAAAGATTTGTTTACACATCAGTTTATATGCTAATGGGAAGAATCTAGCAGAGTGGAGCTGCTGAAGATAGATAGGAGAGAGAGAGAAGGCATCATCCACTGAGTTAAGTGTGTGGAAAGGTATAGAGGTTTGAATCTAGTGCACCTCTTTCATTTTCAGTGTGCCTTTCATTGTCACAGTTTAACCAACAACCACAAATGTTTTGCTTTGCATCATGAAAATGAACTGGT